ATCGCCCTACTCCGAACCTACACATAAACCTACACCCCCCCCTAAAACATTGACAGCCAGTAAAAACACTGACAGCCAATCAGAATCCATCCTGCTTTAAAGATCTCGAAAATTTAAAGTGTGGCAAACGTCAAAACAGCAGCACACGCTTATAGCGTTACTGTCTGTTATTAGATATATTATTATCTTTAGATATCGTTCTTGGTGTAGCCTATCGTGCATTGGATAGTTCACCCAAAAATTAATGGGGGCATGTGATGATAGAAAAAATCCATTGTAGTGATGCCCAAGTTACTTCTTTTTTTGGACAGGTAAGTGTAGACCACTCTCTGATACTAGTATCCATTCAGTTGTGTTTACAACCCTAATGTGAGTAGTACTGTTACCTCGAATAGTCTTTGGTCTATTGCATGCTGTTTTTCAAAACACATCTCGATTATTATCAGATACCACTTCCACACTAAAACTTTTCACTTTAACAAACACTTTAAACCTTTCTAAAATTAGCCTGAACCCCCAATTTCAGAACTAGTGTGGTTTGTGTGCAGCTGAGAAGTCCAAAGACATTTGTATTGAGTTGGCAGTATATGAATGTGACTCAGACTCATTGAGCTTCATGTGAAACACTAGCAGACTGAATTTGAGTGTTGTTCGTTAACCAATACTTAACCCCATAAGTGTCACAGGCCCACCTGTAGGCCACTTGGCACTCTTTTTTTTTTCGTTGTATTTTTTTCTCGATCATATATTTTAGTAATCATCATAAATTACATATCATTTGAAAGCTTAAAAGCTCAAAAATTCATCCTGTCAAAACCGTTTTGAAATCGGACATTGCGTTACAATGGAAATGATACTGTAAATGTTTTAGGGGTCTCCTCCCCCTTAGTGGGTGGAGTCAAGTGCCATTTTACAAAATGTATTACGGTCTTTTAGAATAAAAACTTTTTATAATCTTGACAAAATGCATTTTATCGGAAAGGTCTGAGTCTCAGGATTCCATATTTGGTGGTTATTTTGTGATATAAGTAATATGACAGAGAAATTAAAACATTTGTGACAGAAAAATGCATTAAAAAATCAATGGAGTTTGAATGGCAGCCGGTGGCTGTTCATGGTATAACGCCCTAAATAAAATCTCACAGGAACCTCAAATTTTTTTTTATCAACTTCAAATTTGGAACATAACTCATTTACACACAAGGCTTTAATTTTATAGCAATTTTGGATTCAGAAATATTTTGTAAAATATTTATTTTATATGAAATACAAAAATGGGTAGAGTGCATTTTCTTTGCAGTAAATTTAAACCTATAACGTTTTGATACTTTCATATTTTGAAATGATTCCACTTAATAATCTGCAGATTGTCTTAAAAATTGTTCTTACAAAAAGAGTCCAACCTTAGGTCTGCATTCCAAAGTGTTCATGAATTATTGCAATTTAAGTCTGGATAGTGCACTTTCACGTCTATGGTCAAAAATGGGGGGTGACATTTAAGGGGTTAAAGGTGAAATTTGTATGTTAAAATAGTTTCTCCTGTAATAACTATAAGCCATTCATAGGTGGATTGATCTTTCTGAAAAATGTAACAGCAGCATTGGCTTAACCAATGGTGTGAGTTTGGGGATGGGGCTACCTGGTTTACTGACCAATAGAGTGCATTAGTGCCCGCCCACTTTTTTGGTTGCACTGTTTCCAGAGGTATTTTTCCCATATATTTTTCCTATAGGGTTTTTCAAAAAGCATTTTAAATGAACTGTGAGCATGAACCAAGCCAACCAGCTAGGAGTTGAATCATAACATTAAAAGACTGTGTACTTAACGCTGTGATTTGGGAAAGAACTACAATCCCATGAAGCATTGCGATGAAGAAATACAAAACATTCCATTTAAAGTTGTTGGTTGTATCTATAAACACAAACAATTGATTGCAAAATATGCATGTATATATTCAAATATTTAACTACTACTACAGAATTGCATTCAATACTATGATAATCAAACAATATATACTATTTTATAAAAGAAATAATAAGTATAACCTTTTTTGTGTTGTGTCTGTGTGGCTGCATGGTTCCAGAAAAGCTTGTAATGGAATAGGGCCAGTGTAAGGTAAGGTTGGGGCCCCTGAATGTGTTTTCCATATGATTCCGTTTGCATGCTTTCTGCTACTATAAATAATTCTTATTGGGTTTAAGTGGAATTAGTGCAGGTTTTCATCGTCAGCAGAGCCACTGATACTGTGAGAGCATGGACGCTCGCTTACATATCCCTGTGCACACAAGCAATAAAACTACATATAGGCTATAGGCTTACAATTTATTGAAGGGTCTTAGATGGTGGCTACTTCTGCAATGACCAAGGCGGGAATTCCAACACCGTCAAACAGCACACATCTATAGATTGATGTATTTCTATTTCCATGCAGTACTACACATACTGTATGCCTATATTATGCAAACAGTAAGAAAGTATTTGAGATTTAAGTTACTTTTCAGCCCAAAATCAAAAGAAGAAATTAAGAAATTACATTTGATTCAGCTGTATTGTGACATTTTCAGAACATTTAAGCTCATTATCAGTACCATAATTCATCTAAATGTTATTACTACACATACTGTATGCCTATATTATGCAAACAGTAAGAAAGTATTTGAGATTTAAGTTACTTTTCAGCCCAAAATCAAAAGAAGAAATTACATTTGATTCAGCTGTATTGACATTTTCAGAACATTTAAGCTCATTATCAGTACCATAATTCATCTAAATGTTACTAATTCCCATTATTCTATGTGTAAAAATATTTTTATATAATTTTTAATAATTTGATAAAAAGTTAGTTATTTTTTTCATACCTTATTTGCTTCTTATAATTTTTCATTTCAGTCTGCAAGCAAGATTTCAAACAATGGGTTCCTACAGTAACAAAATGTAAACTTTATTGCAGATTGACATCTCTATTTTTCAGATTGACAGAAGACAGAAAATGGCAGTCATATGATATATGCATGTTGCTGATCGGCTTGTGGCACCTGATTCCTACAAAAAAGTCAAAGATTGCTCAGCAGGGAACATTTCAGCATATCGTTTTCATAGCGCAGCATTTTAATATAAAATACAAGCAAAAAAGGCTCCCGAAACACCACTCTGCATGAGATCATCACAATTAGTCTCTCTGTAAATTCTCAAATGAAAAGAGCATCAAGAGATTAAGACATCAACAGTGTGCTGGGGCGTAAGACATTTTCTTTCTCTTGGATTTGATATCTTTGACCTGAGAAACCTGCAGATACAGTAAACATTCAAAATCACAGTGAGGATTAAGAGGACATTCCCAGTAGGCCACACGTATCAGGTGATACTGATCAAGTTCTCGTTCTCTCTCTGCACTGTAGATTCACACGGCGGTGATTGTGATTTAGTGTTTTAGCACGGGGACCAATCCTCCAAGTTTGGACCTTGTCACGGCATGGGTGTGAAAGTAGCAGCATCTATGGCAAGCCATATTAACATTTAACCCCTAAAACACATCTATTTTAATGCTACTAGTACTTTTTTTTTAGCTACTACAGTAGTATCTAAGTACTAGTACTTATTCATTAGCTACTAGTGCTTTTTCTTCAGTTACTAGCAATCATTTTTCAGCTACTAGTGCTTATTTAGTTACTAGTGCTTATTCATTAACTATTAGTGATTACTCATAAGCTACTAGTGCTTATTCATTAGCAACTACAGCTTATTCATTAGTTACTAGTGCTTATTCTTCAGTTACTAGTACTTATTGTTTAGCTACTAGTGCTTATTTAGTTACTAGTGCTTATTCATAAACTACTAATGCTTATTCATAAACTACTAGTGATTATTCATAAGCTACTAGTGCTTATTCATTAGCAACTATAGCTTATTCATTAGTTACTAGTGCTTATTCATTAGCTACTAGTGCTATTCATTAGTTAATAGTACTTATTCGTTAGGTGCTAGTAAACTTTTAAAGATACTAATTCGTATTCATTAGATACTAGTATTTATTTAAATCGTAACTAGTAACTATTCTACTGTTACTAGTAATGCCTTTCAAGTTTTTTTTTACCATTGACTAGTGCTCATTCATTAGGTACTAGTAATTTTTTTAAGATAATAGGTTTTAATCATTAGATACTAGTACCTATTTCAATTGTAACTAGTATGTATTCTACTGTTACTAGTAATGCATTTCAAATTTTTACCATTGACTAGTGCTTATTCATTAGATACTAGTAACTTTTTAAAGATACTAGTTCTTATTTATCATTAGATACTAGTACGTATTCTTTAGGTAGTAACTTTTTAAAGACACTAGTTCTTATTTATTAGATACTAGTTCTTATTTCAATCGTAACTAGTATGTATTCTACTGTTACTAGTAACGCAATTACATTTTTTATCATTGACTAGTGCTTATTAGGTACTAGTAACTTTTTAAAGATACTAGTTCTTATTCATTAGATACTAGTACGTATTTCAGTAGTAACTAGTTACTATTCTACAGTTACTAGAAACACATTTCAAAATTGTACCAATCTGTCATTCAGATATCAACTATTCAGTTATGAGTAGTATGTATTCCAATAGTGACTAGTATCTTTTTACATTTTACTAGTAAGTATTCATTAGATACTAGTACTTATTTATTAGACACTAGTATCTTTTGTAACTGTTACTAGTAACAAATCTTATACTAGTCACAACTGCTTTTTTACTCATCATATGTTATGACTAGTCAGAATGGCCACTGTAGAGTTCAATAAAAAATATTACTAGTAAAATAAAACTTTTACTACTCTTAAACTCTTATTTTAATTGATACTAGAATCTAATGAATAAGTACTAGTATGTTTAATAAGGTACTAGTACCTAAAGAATAAGCACTAGAAGCCAAAAAGTACATATTAGTACCTAATGGAATAGATACTAGCAGCTAAAAAAAATAAGCACTAGTAGCATGAAACTAGACACTAATATGTTTTAGATTAAACTTAAAACAGCTTGCCATACATCACCTCTAGCAAATTATAAAATTATAAAATGCATCTGTATTTTGCCCAGACTCGTTAAACCACAATTCTACAGGACAATTGTTGCCCTCGGGCTGTGAAAAATCTACATCCGTTATCCCAAATCATTTGTAATTGTGGAATTCAGCTTTATAACGATTAGTAACTATATTTCATGGGACAAAATGTACAAATGCCGCTACAGTCATCAAAGTATTTCTAAAGTTAAGGCAATGAATGATCAAGTTTAGTCTGAATTGATATAAATACAAAACTATAATTCTACCTTGAATAATGTCCTATGAATTACTTAAGATCTAGAAATACCATATTGGTTAATCTGGTCAACTACAAGAAGCTAAACAAATAATTATTAAGATCAGCATAATATCAAAATCTCTCAAAAACGACCATTATGAAATAACAGTTTGTCCTTTGTTGTGTGTTGCATTTCAACTAAGACTGTACAGCTATGAAAATTTTGTTTGGCATCGGCTCATATTCTACTACTAATGATTGATCTTCAATATTCTTGTTTTGTAGACAAAAATAATTGTGCTATTCACCCTAAAAGCCCTTAATTTCAGTCTTCTCTATCAGTAAGTGCTTCTCTCACAGTTCATGACGAAAAATATACGTTGAAAACACCATGAGAACTTGAGGTACAGGTAAAACATTACAAAACTACATCAAATATTCAGCAAAGTTCAAGTAAAAACCCCGCTGAGATGAGATGAGTGATGTTTAGCGTATTTTCATCTTCATCCATTTAGCGCATTGGTTTTTCCTTGTAGAGTCTTTCTCAATTTAGCGATTTTTTTCGATTGTTTGGTCTTCATAAAATTCCATTGATTGTTCTTAAGCAAAGAGTTTGATTTCTAGCTCTATATCATGATAACAATTTAAGAGGCTGTAAGAATCTATCAAATGTAAACTGCGTTCTGAAGAAAAAAGTCCAAAAAATGTACGAATTAAAACAAGTAGCGGAGAAAACATGAGGGATCTAAAAATCATGAGAAAATATAAACCACTTTGATTTTTAAAGTGCAAATGATCTTCTACCTAATCTCAAGATTCCTTGAGACACAGTCTTTATGGAAAGTGCAATTTGAGATCAGCACAAGTGAAAATTTCAAAAATAGAAAAAAAGTGGTAAATAAGCCTCAGGATCTCCATCGTACAAAAACCGCCACGTCCCCAAGGCCGACTGGGTAACTTTCCAGAAACGTCCCTCCATCAAACACTTGAGCATTGTTAGTGTCCTGCCACTGAAAGTCACTCTCCGGGAGGTATATGTCTCTTTGTAAAGCTCCTTTTTCAGTAACTGGCGCAACAAGGACCTACAAAAGCAGAAGAAAAAAACTTCAAACTTCAAGTATACAATAGCAGGGATCACCTTGAAAGCCCAGTTTTGAATATGTAGCCTAGCTAGACTGGAAATCGAAAGGCTATAGGTTCAAACCCACAGGGATGATCTATGAACTATCACTATTGTGCCATTTGGTGATCACAATTTCGCCAAATAGGACTTCATCAGCATCTTTGTTAATCCTTGAAGGTTAGGATTCGAATTTGGCTTCAGTAACTACAAGGCGACACTTACTATTTAAGAAATGTTTTACATGAGGTGATTAATCACATTTATATTCTGATACCTGGATAAATGTGTGATGAAAATTTTGTCACCAGAATAGTACATGCATACTACATGCACCACTCGATTTTTGTAACCGTGCATACTTTGTACACATGCACAGGTCGCACATTTGAATTGAATTTGTTTTGCACTAATCAGTAGTTCCACAAGGTGGCAACACGGGCTGTTGTTTCACAGGAAAATACGAAACTAAAGAAATGGAACAACAAAATAGTGGAGACTGCAACAACAACAGATGCCTGCATTGACAAGCGCTTGTGCGAAGGGGTTATGAGAGAGCTGCAACTTTAGTTTAGAAGAGTACAAAGACATATTTTCGGTCAATATGAGGGAAGTAGTCATATCCTTCATAACTTCTGAAATTTTCTAGAGCGCATGTATTGACTGCCTGCATTCGTGCAATCAAGTGGCATATACTATGAAAGGCTACACGTCAACTGTATGAATAAGCCAGGGTTGCCAGGTCTTTGTAACAAAACCAGCTCAGTGTTCCAAAGGAAATTATTATCTATAAAAAAAAATGAAGTATTCTTTGGGCTTTAGATGCTAGGTGGTGCTATGGAGTCATTTTAGTTGAAAAAGTTTACCCGACACACAATAGCATAAGAAACAAACAGCCTGAGAGAGATTTCAAACCATTGACCCACATTGCTATAGTGAGTGAATGTTTGTGGGAATTTCCTCATTATAAGCACAGAGATTGCGGGAAAAAGTAAAATGATGTGCACTGAAATTCTGGCTTTGAAAACCCTTCATTAACTAACATCTCGTCAGAACTTTAATTGTCGAAATCAACACTGAAAACATATAATTCTACTGATTTCAGGTTAGGGCTGTATTATTCCAAAACCAACAAATGATTCAGAAATATGTCCTACTTGGTAAAATCACAGTCACCATGTCTTCGAGCAGGGCACTTAAGCTCAGGTTACTCCTAAATGGGCCAATTAGTAAAAAAGTGACTTGCACATCTTACCGTTCTATAAGCAGCTTACCTCATTTCCAATGAGGAACTCATCATCAATAGTGAACGTGATTGGGTCATTTGGACTGAGCCACCACAGCGGCCTGTAGATGGGGTTTCCAGTCTCTTGCCATTCCTCTGCGTATTTCAGTATCAAAGGAATGACAAAGTCATGGTGCTTGGCTATGTACAATCTGGTGAGGTTTAGGACCTAGGAAGAAGGTGAAACTGTCAGTGAACACTTAATAAAGCGTATATGAAAGAGGATGTGAGTTTTTGTTCAACACCGTTCTCATCTAGTTCTGCTGTGGTTTGTTTCTAACATTCCTTGAGAGGTCATATCCTTCAGTTAACATCCTAGCCAGCCTCTGGTGACGGAAACAAAGCAAAACCACGTTCATAAAAAATGTATTCTTTAGATGAAAAAATGAATTTTGAGTAACTGCCTGAGTTCGGCCTAATTTTAAATGGAGAAAACAGGCCTGCAGGAAACAGTTTTCCTCCTATTTAGACCCAACATAGTCATTGGATCTCTAATGGGTGTTGGGTAATCGCACAAAAGCTAGTACATGCACGCACACACACACACACACACACACACACACACACACACACACACAGCCTGCAGAAGGCAATAATCCAAAGAGAATGGAAAATAATGGCAAGTAAAGCCTTTCAGTATGATCAACACATTTAATATTAATAATACTAATGAACTATGATTTAAGAGGGTTACGACTGTCCAGATGATATCCATGAGCCAAGATCAAAACCAACGAATGTTCCAATACCATTTTCTCACTGTTCAAATAGACGTCCTAGAGTTATTAAAGGGATAATTCACCCAAAAATTCTGTCATCATTTATTCACCGTCGTGTCGTTCCAAATCCATCAGACTTTTTTCCTCAGAACACAAAATGAGAACATGTTACAACTTTTTTCCATGCAGAGTCAGTCTGATTCGAGAACGAATCATTTAGATGATTTTTTGGACCCGATCAACTGATTCAGTTGAAAGATACGACTCAAAAGAATGATTCTTTCTTTTAACGGGCAACACTACTTCCCTCATGAACATTCCATAGGCAGTCGGAGGGATGTCAAGATTTTTTTTTTGAGAATATCAACATAAATTTCAGTTGTACATATTACTTTTAGAATATGTTTTTTTTGTTGTTGTTGATTTCTTGTTCTTTATGAAGCCTGAAAGCTTCAGTCTTCTTCATTTTGTCCCTCTTTGGCCACACACACATTGCAGCTAAATTTGTTGGTCACTTCAAATTACAGTTCTTAATTATTTTCTGTACACACACAGTTCAGTAATTTATGGGAGTGATAATCATATTCTACAAATGAATTGACTCCTGAAAAAAATCAGGCTGTGGTAACCGCATTTACATAAATTCTATGCAGTGTGTATGGAAACGAACTGAACAACTAGCTGTTAATGAAGCATTTAAACGTGTATCAGAGTTCTGTCTTTTCTGTATATGCAGTGCAAGAAATCACAGGGTATGCCTGACTCATTAGTGTTGCCTGATCTTGCTAACAAACAAACAGATAAGAACAAGCCCACAATAAACTCAAATCCAAACACGTTATCTTGGAAATAAGCCACATATGAAAATATTGCGACCTCCCAGGAGAAAAAAAAGTGCACTTCCATAATGTACTTAAAGTGCTCCATTTTCACGCACTAATTTTGTACTTAATATACTCAAACTTGTTCTTAAAATAATCCTAGAAACATCTGAGTGTACTCATATTTCATACACTAGTGGGTTTAAGTGTATTAAGTGGTATCTAAATAAAAAATTTTAATACAGAGAAAGTATGTCAAAAGCCCATTTTAGTTCATATTCATGGTGTCCCAAAATAGCACAGTTAGATTGAGTACACTTAGATATTCTTAAGATCATCTTAAGAAGTACTAAAGAATAATTTTTAGTATATTAATTACAAAATTAGTGCGTGAAAATAGAGCACTTTAAGTACATTTTGGAAGTGCACTTTTTTTTTCTCCTGGGCTGCAACTGCCTACTTTATTAACTCCATAAAATGGATTGCTTTATTGGCCGAGCCCAAACAACAAGCCCAAAGATGCTTAAAAAGCATAATTTATATTAATTTAACATGGCAACCCTTCAAGAGCGTCCACTGCAAAGTAGCCTTCCAGGGCAAGGGTGAATAATACATTTTCAGAATTTTCATTTTAAGTCAACTGTCCCTCTACTTCCTGCTATTTGACCATTTCTAGCAATGAAATCCATTGAAAGATTTACTCCTACCAGGGATTAGAAAAAAAAAACAATGACCACTACTTATTCTAGTCTGTAAGGTCAAATCACTAATGAAACCTGTAATTGTCTCTGGAAATGTTCTTTTCCTCTTATCCAACGATTCATTATCATTCCTGGTGCAGCGGTTCTCATTACAGTTGAGATTGAGAGTCATAAATTTGAAAGCGATGCTAATGCAGACCAGATGGACCCTTAACCACAGGTGATGTTGGGGAAAGGCCAAGCAATTACACCATGAAATGCAAGAAAAACGGCCACCTGGAGGATGCTCTGTGCCGGTCCTAAACTCAAACCGGGCTCTTAGGGCTCAAACATATCAGCGCTTGGGACTGAATATTCTGGCGTGTATTTAGGTAGTATTTTGAGGAGGACATTCTCATGGTACACCATGGAGTGAATGAGTATTATGTTTCCAATGTTATGCTAGGAGTGTAAAAGAAACCGCCTTTAATTCTGAGGCATTTAACTCTCAATGGTTAACATATTGTGCCCAGTTTTGCTTCCTGAAAACTCAAGACTTTCTTATTGTATGACCCACTTGGCTCCATCTTATTCCCTATTTTCTGACCACAACGAGAAAGGAACTGAAGTGAAAGCTAAAACCCGGATGGGGCCGAGGACCCGCCCTTGTGGCACTCACCCATTCCTTCTCAAAGACCCATGGAGGTGTCTGGAAGCTGATGACAGGAAGAAAAGCTGCGATTCCCAGCCAACGAACGAAAAGCTCGTCATCGGCAACCAGTTCGGCAGAGAGAGAGCCTCCTGCGATTGACAGTCCCACAAATGCATTCACACGTCAAGAAATTCATTTTTTTTTGTGGACAATAACGATTTTCTAGCATTGTGATATTGTTTTTATTAGAAATTGGAAGCAAAATGTGCTTAACCCTATAAAGCCTACTGTAACATATTTGATACACAAATTTCTAAGGCCTGTAAATTATCAACGTGATCAAATCTTGCTGAAAAACCTGTTGTACACAATCTACTACATGCCTTCTGTCGTCAAATTGATAGTTTATACTTTTTCTTAAGTAAAATGCTTTTTCATGTAATTGAAAATACTGTCATCCCTCTTCAGTTCATGGTATATGGTAATCAGTATTTACTGATTTTTATAAAGTAAATGTAAGAATAACTTTTATCTTTTTAGTAATATTTCAAGATGAACACTTACTGGACTGAAGAAACTTTTTGAAGAAACAGCAAGTAGTCTGTTATATAAAGATCTCATTGATTTATATTACGAAGCTATCTGAATTTAATCTTATGTTTTGGCCATATATCAGCATCTTCGCCAAATTGCATATTTTTGCTCAGTTTGGGTCTCTGAACAAATATGAGCTCCATATTTTCTCTTTCATAATATATGGGCCATAAAAGCCTGATTTATCAAATATGATACACATATGCAAACTGTTTGTTAGATTTTGGCTAAAGGATCCATAAACTGTTCAGTTTCAGGAAGATTTTTCTAACATATGATATATTATTACAGTATTTTGAGAATATGTGAGGAAAATGTGCTTAACTGTCAAAGTAACAATGCAACAAAGTAACAAATCTAATAGTCCTAAAAACAGGCTTCATTTTTAACAGGCTTAAAATGTAATTTTTGATTTTTGATTAACTGGTCAAATGTGACCTGGGAATATTCTGGACATATTTTATGAGATTTATTCGTATCATACTGTGTACTGTACAACTGTGTGCCAGTGGTCTTTTGTTTTTGTAAAGGATTAAAGAAGACAGTTGATTAAATTCTATTGTCTTTATCTATGGTATGAATTTTCACAAAAAGTACATGTGTATTTATGCATGTGTGGGCAGGTATTACCTACTGCATCAGGAATGAAGAAATTATATCCCAGAAGACTGTGATGCAGCAGGGATAGAATGATGCCCTTCAGGCCAGAGTAACTCCAGTCTGACTGCAGCGCACTCATACGGATGAAGAGCGCTTTGTGTCTGGACCTGTGTGCACAAAATCGGCCAGTTCAAAAACAATTCGAATCACCTACAACACAATTCCAATTTGTTTTCCAAATCCAATATTTTTTTTTCTTATGGGAAAGTCTGTTTTTCAACTGTCTACTTGACATTTTGGATCTTGTTCAAACCATAATCGATATCAGTACCTTGCCATGGAAATTGTACACAAACTGTACAAGCCAGAACAAAGCAAAGAGTATTCTACAACAACAACAACAAGAAGTAACTATCATTGTGGAAAGAGAAGATGGGAAACTGCCTCTTGCTACACACGGTATATCCACAGTGCTGTTAACATGATACATCATTCATAAAATCTTCCAAAACTCCATTTTAACTCTTTCCCCACCAGCATTTAAAAAATAAATAAATAAAAAAAACGTTGCCAGCAACCACCAACATTTTTGATTATTTTTTACAAAACTTTTATGGCCCCCAAAAGAAATAACAGAGCCTCTGCTTTTATTCTAGCTTCATCCATTCTTCTTTTAATCAAGACTTGAATGTGGGCAAGTTTCATTAAAAAAAGCAACATTTTGAACAAAAAGCTGAGAAAATCGTGTCTATGTCTGGATTGGATTCAGATCGATGATCAAAACATAGATGGAGTTGATCACTTCCATCAACACCCCCAAAACTTCACAATCCTAAACCACTTCCTGGGGTCTACATTTTTTATTTATATGCTGTTTAATGCTTGATGATCACGTTATTTTACATATGCATCTGTTTTCATGTGTAATCGATTGTTTCTGCATCTTCTTCACCGTGTTTTGATCCAGATGTTCAGTACTCATCAGGAGATGTGTAATAGCACCTCCTGCCATGCAACAGTGAAAACACGGAAAGATGGAAAATTCCGTCAATGGCGGGGAAAGAGTTAAATAGATTTTAAATCACATGTATGCATGTGGTTTGGATCAGACTTGTAAAAAAAAATCAGATTTGGTGTATTTTTTTTGAGGTTCAGACGACAGATTTGAGTCGGACATGCCAAGAATGGATTTTGGATTTTGGTTCCCTGTCTGAACAAAGTCTGTTAATTGTTCCCAAAGTTGTAGGTTGGTCATGATTTTGCCAAATGGGGCAAATTCTTGGATTGTAATGTTCAGTTGATCCTTGAACAACATTCCGCTCAAACAAACTTAACCAAACTACCTGAAAATCCCAATCCCAGCCCTGACTCTAACCTAAAACCTCACAAGGATGTTGATCCATGCACTACTTGGCAAAGTCACAGTAATTGATTGGGATTATTTAAAACATTCAACCAAATACCTTGTTCCTGAGGTCACAATGGTATTTTCCCCTATCCTCCCTGCCAGGTCAGCCAGAAGTCTGATGTATTCATCCCCAACCCATGCCAGAGGGGGGCGCAGGGCCTGTTCCTCGAAAGGGTTCCCCTCACCGCCTTCCAGGATGACATACTCCATGCCCAAATGGCTATGTAAGCTGTCCACTTTGTCCAGAAACCAATTCGTGGCTTCTGGGTTGGTGATGTTGAGCTTCACACTGTACTTTCCTTTCCACTGAGTCAACAGAGGCACCTTATGAAAGAGAAATCATGTAAAAATTAAAAGTAAACAATAATAATGCACAGATAAGCATATGGGTCAAGAACAAAGAGCGTATCAATGAAAAAGAATAGGAAAAATCTCTAAACTTGTATACAATTTTCAAGAAACTATTAAGTAATAACAGTACTTTCCTTACACCTTTAATACATATGAATGTACACATCTTTCATATTTTCATATATACATTTTTTAAATTTTGTGACAGATACCATGAATTTAAATCATACAAATAATCAAAAATCAAGTCAAAGTTTTTGGGGAGTTGCACCACATGACATATAACCTGATAAAATGATTTAATGATACTAAAAACGATTTAATAAAGTATTTTCAAGAATTTCATTCATTTTAATAAGACCCCCCCCTCCATTATAATATCAGGACAGTTGTACCACCCTGACCATTTTTACTTTATGCCCCAAAAGGTCAACATTTACATTTTTAATTTACATTAAGAAATGTAGGATATATTCATAGGAGACTTCAAGTCACTGTATATTTGTATAGTTTTTTTAAAAATTATTATTCATTAATAGGTCCAGACAAAAATGGCATCAAGCAGGATCATTATTAAGTAAAACTAAAACCATAAAAAGTAATATATTAATAACATTTAAATGTTCCCTTTAGGTTGAAGTACTAAAATAACTAAAACTAAGCAAATTAAAAGAATAATAACAAATTAAAATTATATAGACATTTAAATAAAAAACTAGAACTTTAAAATTAGACAGACGCAGTGACAAGCAATCAGTCAGTCTTACCGGTCGGCCCTGTGGTCCTGAGGGCAGACTCAGCCAGTAGTCTTCAATGCCTTCTTGAATGGAGGTCTGGAACTGCTGCGAGTCCACGCTCAGGTACGGGGACAGGGTGATGGAAATGTTTAGAAGCTTTACAAAAGGGAGGTCCCTCGTCTGTCTCTTAGACGTCCTTTTCTTGCTATTGAGGTAGCTGTGGTCCTAGAAAGGCAAAAAATAATTGGCAAATATATTAAAAAGTTTGTTTGTTTGTCTAATGGCACCTGTTTAAAAAGTCATACATTTTGGTGCACAAATGATACATTTTAACCTTGCAAATCAAGCTTGTTCGATATTTCTGACCTACACAGGAAAATAAAAACTTGATGTTGTAAAAATGTAAACATTTTAAGAACTTTCATTGGTATAACCTAGTTTAGGCTAATTCAGTCAAATAAAATAATATTTTGGAATATAATAAAATATTTTTGATATTGCAACATATTCTTTAGGTCAGGGGTTTTCAAACGTTTTGATACCAATGACACCCAGATATGAAATATTAATGAATTCATCTGTATATTTTCAAGTATGAAAAAAAAAAACGGTTTAATATAAATTTTCTATATAAAAAAATACCTTATGTATGATGAAATGCTTTCTCAAATGTCTTATAAGGTTTATAATTTAATTCAGCAGTGCTTCTAAATCACAGTTAACAAATTAACCACATGACATATAAAAACAAGATTTTATTAGATCTGTGGTCCTTAAAAATGAGACAAGTGGCATAACAAAATTATCAATTTGAGAGGTCTTAAATTTGAAGAAAGAAAAACAGACTAATATGTTATTAAACCTCAAAAGGCTGCGGTTTCATTAAATAAATGTGAGCGCTATGCATTTTAACGTCAAAACACGGTAGTTCACAATCAATGAATATTGCATGTGTATGATTGCTTATGATCTACTGTTGATGAATTATGGTCATGTTTACTTAATTGTATTTATATTGTAATATGCTATAGGGGATTGTGTGAGTGCATATTTTATGTCCCTCACCTTTTTAATGCGCAGCTGGAAGTAGCAAAGCATATACATTTCAAAATCAGAGTCCTGTTGTATTTTCTGCATTATGCATACAATTTTTGGTTACATGAAAAACTGTAAAATCTAAACGTTATTTAAAGTAATTCACCCAAAAATGAAATTTTGCTTCAATTGTACTCACCCTCAGGCCATATAGATGACAGATTTGGAGAAATTTTGCACCTCTTGCTCACCAATGGATCCTCTGCAGTGAATGGGTGCCGTCAGAATGAATTACAATAAATGCAATATTAAGACTTTTAAACTTTAAACCATCCCTTCGGACCAAAATACAAGGCCATAATCCATAATAACTCTTCCTCCAGTAAAAAAAAGTCCATCTCCTGTTGTCTTTCACATCAAAATCCACCAACATATTTGTTTAGAGCTGTTCTGGACTGTTTTTGCTTGTAAACTGTGCTTGATCGGTGCATATTTCTCTCCTGATTCGGGCGAGATGACTTTTTCCACTGGAGAAAGCAATATTATGCACGGAGGAGTCATATTTTAGCTGAAAGCAATGGTTTGAAGTTAAAAACGTCTTAATAATGGACTTGTTTTGGGTTGGAGTGTTGTAGATTACTGTGATGTTTTTTTATCAGCTGTTTGGACTCTCATTCTGACGGCACCCATTCACTGCAGAGGATCAATTGAGCACATTTAAATTTTTTTTGGTGAACTATTCCTTTAACACACTCATAATGTCTCACCGTTTTAACACACACAGTTTGTAGTCTGCTTTTGTAGGCAGTCAGATATTACAGACAATGGCAGCCGTCAGCGTTAAAGTCTCAGAATTCTTATTTTGTTGATTATTTTAACAGTATGGAAAATATTATTGTTTTACCATCACTGAAAATAATACCTCAGCCCCTATTAATGTTTTTACCATGACAGTTGCTAACAGAGCCCCGGCGTCTGAGAAAATATAACAATAATGTCATTTATAGTAATCATATTGTACAGGCATGCCGAACGCTGTGCTTATGAGGAATCTGTGCAATAAATAGCGAATACTGGCAAGTGTGTTTATAACCAAATTCATTCCAAGTCAAGCTGTTGGTTCCGCTTATGACTGTGTTATTTCAAGCTAAAATGGAAACTAGCAAAGAAAAAAAAACTGCATTGGGATTGTTTCCCCAATTGGAGTTTCGTATAACTGTCACACAAGGGAAAGTTTTCCACTGCAATTTAGTGGTATGACTTTTATTCAGGTTGGGATATGGGAAAGTGTGGTGCATGTATCAGATAGCACACATAATTATGCTTCATTGTGGGTGATCTGATATTTTTGTTATAAAGTCCCCAGTTTTTTGTTATTTTAGGTCATAATCAAACATTACAATTTTTTATTTGAGCCTATAGCCTATTTTTAGCAAAATGTAAGTGTAATGGAAGGGAAAATGTGTTGTATGGAAAAAGGAACAAATATGAAAAAAAATTCAAAAGAGTAAAACCAAAGTCATGAGTTATTGTAATAGGAGGGCTGTAGTCAGCATTACATTGACGTTAATGTTCTGATAAGCCTTTTAAGTATTTTAGACATAGAGAACATTCTTTTCTTGGCAGAAAGTTAGCTTTTTTTCTCTTTCACCTGCCTCTGATCTTTCTAGAGGAATTCAGCTGTGAAACGAACTGCTCAGTGTTATATATACTGCTTTGAGATCAATCAAGCATGCATGCCTAAGAACAATGTCCTGATTAGTCAAAAAATTGTAACCAGCCTGTGTGTCATAAAACATAACGAGTTAATATAAACAATAAATCAAGACAGTCTAAAATTGAAAATTCTTAGGTATGCACAGATTATATTTTTTTCTGGCCGATGTCTGTTTTTATTTTATGGCCAAAAAACAATATGAAGGGCAATATTATAAATATAAACAAGTTTTTTTTTTGTTTTTTTTTGTCTAGATATATTTATTTATTATCTTAATTGCATTTCTGAATTTAAATGTATGTTGGGGGCATGAAGTCAGAAATATCAGGGTGATAACTGTCCTAATATCATAATAACCTATAATAATTACTATTATATTATATTAATAATTATTATTTCTTAGAAAAAAATTAATTCGCAAAATTGCTTCAGTGATTATTAATATTTGAAAAACTTGTCCGCTAAATCCAAGTCATGTGGTGTAACCAACACGCAACCCTGCAGATGCCCATGTGTTAATAAGTCTCTTATAATATCAGAAAATATGAATTTTTATGGCAAAGCACAGTTGTTCGGGTTGTAAAATGTCATGCGGTGCAGCTCACCAAAAACTAATGATATTTATGAATTAACAATTTATTTTTATTTAATTTTTTTACGATAATATGTTATTACTTTTTATTTCATGGTTACACTACATGACCGTTTTAGACTCATTCAAATTATTAAAAAGGATATATTAAAGTTTTTCAAAACCATGTGAAACCATATAAACATAAATTTGACATTGTGATAAATGCCTTTAGCATGATATCAATAAGTCTCAGGTTGTAAAATGTCATGTGGTGCGACACTCCGAAAAAAACAAGTAATATTTATGAATTAATATATTATATGTGTAAAATAAATAAATAAATAAATGTGTTTTTTGAACATTAAAACATGTCAACATATTCTGTTACACCAAATAATGATCTTTAAAAAAGCATCATATGACCCCTTTAAAACATTCTTGAAAATAAAGATATATTCAGGGTGTAAGGAAACTCTTTTTATTTGATGGTTACACCACATGACATTTTTAGACTCACTAAAATGAAACTTTTGTTGAAAGAGGTATAAAAGTTTTCCGAAACCAGCATTAGCACTCTTATTTGTCACTGACCCAACTATATAATGATATTCCCTATAACCCATGTTGGGGTCGTGGCTTAGTGGTTACATCAAATGCTCCAGAGATGTTAAGCTGTGGCGCTCATGTGGGGAATTCAGGTACAAGCCTTCAGGTTTACAGTCTGTTCATAGCTCAGCCGCTATAACACAACCTATATATGTGTTCTGATAAAAATATACACCTTGAATGCACTATAAACCTTAGATAAAAGCATTGAGAAATGCATAAAAAGTGGTAAAAAGACAAAGCTAACTTAACACAGATGGCCCACACTGGTTCAACATATCAGTCTCCTTAACACAGCAAGTATCCCCTAATTGTAAACCAGTTCCCTGCTGGCATTTCAGTGAACCAGAGACGTGTGTCTTTCTCTCAGGGGATCAGATCCTGACCTCTCCTCACCGGCTGCAGATCCGCTTAGAAAAATGAAGCCTTTCATGTCCACTGAGCAGCTCGGACTTGTTTTGTTCTGTCAGAATGAACTTAACAGGCCAGCTGGTGGCTTTGAACGTGAGACGTTTCTACTTGAACACAGCGTTCCCGCGGTAACTCTGCCTGCTATGTACCTCCGTATCGAAACGAAACGTGTTTTGCCAGACCCTGGCCTGTGTTTGTGATTATAATGAGTCCTTCAGAAACCTCACCATCAACCGCATGAAAATGAACAGCGAAGTCTGTCATTTATGCACCACTAGTGGTCACTAGTTTGTTTTGAAAGTCATACAGGTTTGGTACAAAATGAGGGTGAGTAACTGACGACTGAAACAATGGTTTTCTTTTTTTAAACTGGGTTTTCCACCAAGTGCATGGATCAAAATAGTTTGGCGAATTATGTTTTATAATTCGGCTGAAGGCTACTAACAATAAAGACTTCTTAGTTCAAAATGTTACATATGCACAGTGCTTCTAAATCGGATTTGAATATACTTTATATAATTACTCAAGGTTGTGCACATTAGCTGACACTGATGCTGCTTGAATGCTGAGGTGAATTGTAAAATGTAACATTGATTTTAGCCTCGTATTCATATTGATTTCTTAAAAAAAAAAAAAAACACTCATTCTGTCATTTATTTAAACCAAATATCCACACTGGTATTTTTCTGTGAAAAACAAAAAGATAACACTATGAAGATAATTTTAGTATAATTTATAAACAATTTTTTTTGTTGATATTTTAAATGAGATTTTATTTATATATTTTCTGTTTTCATTTTTCAAGTTTAATTATAGGTTTTAGTTTTAATTAATTTAGATTTACTTTTGTTTGTACTTCAATTTAAACACAAATTAGAAATGTTGGATTGGCAGCTAGCATGAATAAAATGTTCTTTTCTCATCTTTTTAAATATTTTGTTTTATTTCAAATAATGTAGTTGTTTTTGTTTTTTGTTTATTTATTTTTTTTGTTTGTTTTTATCAAAAATACAAAAAAAATAAATCTTTTTTTTTTTGGATCTTTTATTTTATTTAAAAATGTAATCAATTTTTAAATATATGTCTATAGTATTCATTAATTTTAATTTATTAGTTTTAGTTTATTTTGTTATTTTAGTACTTCAGCTTGACGAGAAATGTTGCCTTGTCGACTAGCTGAAATAAAATATGTTGGTTTTTTTTTCAGTACACATTTATTTTATTTTAATCAATGAACATGTTTTTTTTAATGGTTATAGTTAACTATAATAACCCTGTTACTGAGTTGTTGCACTTACTTGTACACAACCATACATAAATATAAACATAAACCATAAAAAAATCAATTGATAGATGATCATTTTCAACATGTACATGCAGAAGAAGCTGTCCAGTTGGCTCTGTGGGCTGTGCGAGCCGGTGGGGTGTTGAGGCAGAAAATGAAGGCCTGAAGGCCCGGAGCTACAACAGGTGCAGAGGCCGAGCCGCTGACGGCTGGAGATTAAACAGCACACTGAAGGTCAGAGACGGGGAATATACTGCAGATCACCACAGCCGCTCTGACACTGAATGACTTCAGCTTTCTCACAACCTATTTATTACGTGGGGTTAATTGTTCATTGTTTTAATTATTATTTATAAAACAACAAGCTACTTGATTTGACGCTTTTATATTATTGTTGCTTTTATTATTATTATTGTTGGAAAAATTATGCTGAAAATTCAGCTTTGCATCACAGGAATAAATTACATTTGAACATATATTCAATTTGAAATTGTGATAATATTTTGCAATATCACTTTTTGTGTATTTGCAGTGTAAATGCAGCCTTGATGAGCATAAAAAGACTTCTTTTAAAAACACATTTATCTATCATGAATCCCCAGCTGATATACAAATTAACTCTCATGGTGTTGTTTACCGGATTTCAAATTTACTGTGCAGAACAGTCAGACGTTATTGTGCTGCAGGAAGCAGGCAGAGGGTGATTTAGAGCGCGTGACCCACCATGCTGGCGAGGAGAGCAGTGGAATGTTCGTCGAGGCTGATGACTCCCTCCCCCAGGTGATGCCGCTTCAGCCGGTTTGAGAAGGTTCTCAGCTCGCGCTCTAGCTTGGCCCCCGAGTCCACGTTTGCTAGAAGCTTCCAGAAAGGCAGCCTTCAGAGAAATATTGTATTTGTTAGAGTCTTCAAACTCTAACACACCAACACATCAGGGTAATATTAACTAAAACCTTAAAAAATCATTAACAAAATACAAATTAAATATAAATAATATTGAATTTATTGTATCTCAGCTAGTCGCCAAGAAAATATTTCTAATTTTCATTTAAAATTATATTAAGTACCAAAATAACTAAAACTAAATAATTTTATAACTTAAAACTTTATTTTAAGGCGTCCTTGTTACACGTTACATGTACTTAGTATTATAATAAAAATAAATTTTGCATAATTACATGCAAGTAACCCTAAGCCAAAACCTAATCCTAACCATATAGTACTGTAAGTACATGTGGTTAATTAATATTACTCAGTACTTAAATGTATAATTGTTACCAATGTCCTGTTACACATTTGTACTTATACCATTCAGTGGGCTGTTACATGTGTGTAGTTACACAAACATTACAGCTGTAGATACTATGTACCAATGTGTACTTACACTGTGGTTACATACTATGTACACATCTAGTTACTATGCAAGTACACAGGTATTATGGCCACTTAATATAAAGTGGAACCATTTTGGACTAAAATTGAAATGAAAATAGAAAATATAAAAATAAAATATAATTCAAAATATTAACAAAAACTATAATAGCAGTGATACTAAAATAACATCGCACCATACACAATAGTAAGGAATAAAAAAATCGAAATGCAAAAATTCCGTCATAATCTACTATTACCCACCATTTTAATTTTCATATTTTAATTATAATAACACATTTAATTGCTTGTATTTTTGTTCTCATTTTCATTTTTAATAATGAACCTACAGGACGAGCATATGGGTTTATGCATTTATTTATTTATTTATGATGAGAACAGATGAACAGAGACTGTGCGTCACTTTTCATGTTCAACAGCACACACCACAGTGACAGAGGAGGCCACTAAAACAACAAAATATGCTTGGGCTGGGTAAAACATTTTTTTTTTAATAGATTCTCATTTTTATGAACCAATATCGATTCTTAAATCCCAATCGATTCTGTTTTCAGTTGATGAATGAACCGTACATAGGCTATAGTGCCTCCCATCCAGTAAATCGCAATAGACTAAAGCTTTGTGCTTTGTTTCTTTTGATATAAAACAAAGTCTCTAACATATATATATATATATATATATATATATATATATATATATAGCAGTATTAAAATTATATAATGTTGTTTATTTATTCATTAATTCATTTTAATTTATTATTTAATTTATTTCCATAAAAAAATTCATATTATTTCAGGGGGCATTTACACAACACTGTTTTCAACTAAAACTGGAAAACTCTTTCATGCGTTTTGGCCGTTCAGTTACAAGATAATGTTAGATAGGCGTTTTGGGGGCCTGAAAATGCTAACTTTTGTAAACAGTACCGTATTTGTAAAACATGAATATTAAAACGATGATGTCTTGCAAATGCATATAATACAGTGTTTTTAGTCATTTTCATGAGTCTGTGTGAACAGGGGGTTGTTTTGACAACAATGACGTTTGTATGTAAAACTAAAAAAAAAAAAAAAATTACAAAGTTCAAACGATAAGAGCTTGATTGCGTTTTTCGACCCACACGAACAGCCTCAGTCTTGCGCGTGCGCATTGGCTGACAGTGAGATCAGCATAAGCCTCGTCGCGCTGCAGTATAAACACCGCCAACATCCAACAGACAAGATTCACAACACGACTCTGCGCTTCGAGAGAGACGGTTGCCGAAGTCAGGATGCTTCTCACGCTGCTTTTTATCTCCACGGGTAATATATACTGTTTTTTGACCTCCGAGCTAACTTGGATCACATGTCCCTTAATAACCAATCACATTACAGCCTTGACGTCACTGAATTTCAGTCAGAGTTGTGCGACACTCAACCGCAGTTTACGGATACCATAGGAATGAATGAGAAATGCCGTAAGCTGAATCCCATGTTTCGCAAATAGTCAGTGGCTTCTTTTATAAATGGCATTTTTTCACAGTAAACTCTAAAAATAGATCAATACAAAAGTATTGTTTAGTGTAAAACATGTTGAAGATTAGCAGATCAGCCGTTTCCTCTAAAAAGCTGTTTATTCAGCGTTGTGAAGCCTCTCCTCCATTGACAGCCATTAAAAAAAAATGTACTGCCAGACCGGAAGCGTTAGCTGTAGCCGTTACGCTTTTTCGGCTAATGGTTGCAGGCTTGCCTTCTAATGGCTTTGGTGCGCAATCAAAGGCATAGCAAAAGACTTGTGACAGTTTTATTTTTGTTCTGGAGCTGATGATCCCGCGCTCTGCTGCCACACTGGAGCGCACTCGCCACCAACTGGACAGGGGTGGGAATTACAGTTATAAATTACAATAGATCACCCTCAGTGTCTGGCAAAGTGATGGACGGTCTTCAGGTTTTTCCGTCACTAATAAAAAAATTCTGTCAACGACGGAAAATTTTTGGTTAACGTGACCTCTAACATATATATATA